GGAGAATGAAGTCACTGCCAGTGTTTAACCCCTTCTTGAGATGAGTCTGGCTCCATCTGATCCCCACCTGGAAGTGGGAGCCGGGTCCCTGGCACTGTGCTTGGTACTGGAGGAGGAGGGAAGGTAGCTGGAGTCGGGAGTGACAGCCACCATTTACAGGGCACAGCATTTGAGCCAGCTACTGTACTAAGCTCCCGACAACCTCACAACCCAGAAAAGAGGGTATGACACAGCTCATTCCTATTTCACTGAGGAAATGAACTTGATTCAGAGAGGTTAAGTAACTTGCCAGTGTCTCCATGATTCTTCTCTAATGCTTGTCGTGTTGTTAGACCAGATGGAGTGGGGGAGATGGTTCTAGGGGGTAGGTGGGTAAAGGAAGGCTTCACCAAGGAGGGTGACTTTTAGGCCGAAGAGAAGAACAGGGAGGAAACATCTATTGGCTCCAGGATACCAAGTCCCTAGGCCAAATCTGCGGGCTGGTAGAGGAGGCCAGGCAGGCCCCAGAGAAGGCTATGGCCGGGGCCCACACCTGGTCCTTCCTTATCTTTCAGCCTCAGTACTGGCCATGCTGGGATTCTGGCTCGGGGCAGGGAGGGAGGTTAGGCCCACAAACATTCCTGCCCAGCTCCTGCTGGGGAAGTGCTGGCTTGGGCTGGGGCAGATCCGAGAACCAGCAGCTGGAACCCAAGGTGAAGCGGGCCTCTCAGGGTCCCCAGCGCCAGCCCAAGGCCACACAGGATCGTCTTTGTAGATGCAGCATAAGCCGTGTGCAGAGCTGCTATGAGCTGAAGCAGGGCTTTAGGCAGACTCCGACTGTTTTCAAGGATGTTAAGTGACAATGACAAATAACAACAAAAGTCATATGCCATAGCTCAAGATCACAACAGATGACTCACCAAGTGAAAGGTGTGATCACAGGAGTATTGGTGAGGTCACTGAACCACAATGGCCACAGGAGACTGCAGGAAGGACTGATTATTCAGCAGCTTCCTGCAGAAGGAGAGGAGCTGTGACTCTAAAGGGCCGGGTTCCCACCAGCAGGGAGAATGGGCCTGTCTTTGGGGGAGGGACAGCTGGATGTCCTGTGAACTAGGCAGCAAACGGCTAGAAATAAGGGACACTGAGGGGACACAACGGGTTGAGCTTTATGGCCCTGGTTCAAGATGAGGCATAAAGATCTAGAACAACGAGGAAGGGTGACCCTTTGTGGCCTTGATGGTCTCTAGCCCCTAGGTGTCTGTCCAGGCCTTGGGCTTCAGCCAAAGCCATTGCCTAAGCAAAACGGTCATGGAAATTTCCACCCAAGTTCTCTTCCAGCTCTGTTCTCAGCTCCACATTCCTCCCAGGCCCTGCTGAATCCAAAGCTCTTTTGCTGGAGTAAGCTGCAGGCCGAAGGGGCCTGGGGCAGCCTCAGACTCTGTGACTGCCACAGGTGGCCAGTATGGTATGGACATGTCAGAACTTTAGGTGTACTGGGTATTGTGCTGGCATGGAGCACTGGAACTGTCCCCCACAGAACTGGCAGGTCCCTGGGGCCCCAGGATTGCCTGCTCCTGGGAAGGCAGAGGGGAGAAATGGCAGCTCCCACCATCGTCAGTGTTCTTGAGCCAGGTCAGCTTCACGCGGCTTTGCCTTCCGCAGAGTACAGGGCGGCAGGGCTGGAACAAGCCCGGGGGACCTACAGAGCGGGGGCGTCCCACTTCTGCTCCCCAGAAATCATCTAGATGCTCTATTTACTTTGGGGGGACTATTGTATATTTATTTCTAGAAGCTCCCAAGTGGAAGGAGTGACCTTTGCACGGAGAGTGGAGCTAGGAAGACACAGGAAGCTCTCTTCTCTTCCCCTCCTCCCGTCTTTCCTTACCCTGGGCTCCCAGCTCCCGCCCCGTTTCCCATTAGGTTCTCCCACAACAGCAAACAGCGGGGATGCAGGGGCCAGATGGCTGCTCCAGCCTTAGGGCAATAAAATGGGCTACTAAACGGAGCCAAATGACGTCCTTTGTCCACCGCTGGGAGGGGACTCTCCCTCAGAGAGGTTGGCGCAGACCTGCCTCTCCCACATCTGTGCGTCTGTGCATAAGTGAGTCTAAGGCTTCTCTGTCCCCACTTTCAGGCTCCAGCAGTGGCACCCCATCCTCCCACCAACCGGGCTGCAGAACCTACAGTCCCTTGACCTTCAGAGGAGTGAGAGGACGTGTTAACAAACACATCATCATCTAGGAAAATATAGGCTGTGCTGTGAGATGATACAGTGATAGGGATGATGAGAGTCTCATCTGAAGAGCTCAGAGGTGCATCGCAAGCAGATGCGTCACATCAAGAGTACAGAACAAGAGTCTGGAAAGGGCCAAGGGTACTGCAGAGACAGAGAGGAGGAGGCCAGCGTGGGGAGCCCCGAGAGCCTCAGGCAGATCTTCTATACCTGTGTCCTTTCTCTTGTTCCGTGACCACCACCTACCCCAATCCAGGCCTCCATGACTTCTGGCCTGGGCTTTGAGAATGGACTCCAATGCCCTGCCCTCTGCCACCTTTCCCAGCTCAGCCACCTTGCAAAGAGCAGCCACACAATACTTCCCAAAGCCAGGGCCTCTCCCAGCTCAGAAGTCATCCTTCTGCCCAAAGAGCAGAGTCCAAACTCCTTCTCCAGGTAATTCAAACATTCCTAGACCTCACTCCAGTCTTCCCTCCTGCTTCCCCTGCTTTCTAATGAGTTCCCATCACTGAATGTTTTTTACTGTTACATTAACCCCAAGAAGGACCCATCATGCCGTGGGCTTCTGTTTTTACTTGGCATGTGTTGAGAAATACACCATTGGCAAAGTTCCTGGAACTGGTGACATCTGCCCCCTTGTTCCACATGACTTGTTTCTGTGGGATGTGGGCCACAATTGTGTTGAGGAAGAATGAATGTGTGTACGTGCGTGTGTGTGTTGTAAGGTGTGAAATGTTTAATAAGCTTCATGCTGCATAGGTAATGCATATGCGATGCTAACAAACATCTGTCTGGGGCCTCAGGTGGATGACCAAACAGATCAAGGACACAGAATGTAAATATGACTCACTGGGAAGCCTCGCTGTTCCTTCAGGCTATTTCCAACCATCTACTCAGCAGGCTCAGAGGGTGAGTAACCAGAGGCTCCAGCACAGGTGAGGGCTGGACATGCACGTCCCACAGTGAGTCACGCAGTGGAATGACAGCAAGGCCTGAGCCTCTTGCTCCCCGGCCCGACTCTGGAGGGTAAATGTTCAACTGGAGCTCCATGGAGACCTAAGGTGGCCTTTAGGTTTCTTCTGCCGCCTTCGTGGGTCACAGTTATCTGGAAGTTCTTCGGAGAGGGAAGCAGTTAGTTTCTCGTTTCTTACGCAGTCACCAGCTCAACGCGATCACTCATTCTGATGGGCAGTTGCGTTTACGTCAAATCTAACGCGTTTCGTTCCTATCGAAGCAAGTCATGTTTGACCACTTCCTCTTCCTTAACTAGCAACACTCAGCACAGCAACACTCCTATCCTTATACAACACTGCAAAGCGCCGAAAACCTCCCATTACCTCTGAGCTTGTTGTGACAAGTGTCTCTGTCAGACATTCTCAATGTGGGGAACACATTGTCCTCGCACAGCCCCTCCCGTGCTGGGTTATCAGCCACTTAGTCACGCTGTACCTACTAAGCACCTACCACACATGCTTTTTTCTTGGGTTTTTAACCCAAAAAGAAATACTGTTCCAATTTATTCATTTAGTCATCACTCGGTAGACATATATTGAGCTTCTGTGGTGCGCCAGGCACTAGTGATACCAACAGAGACATCCTAGGCCTCAGTCTCCTCATCTATCTAAGGGGACAACAGCAGAACCTCCCTCACAGGACGGTTGTGAGAACTGAAAGGAGACCATGTGTGGAAATGCATAGCACAGTGCTCAAGGAGTGGTGCCGAAAATAGAGCTGGAGGCTGGACTCTGTCCCGCAGACACGCCAGGGACAATGGAGGGACCAAGGAAAGCATGGTAGACTCTGTTCCCTGCTGGGGAGCAGAGGTCAGCACAAAGTCTCCACTGAAGATAAGTGGGACAAGAGGAGTGGCCACAGGGAGCGGGGATGGCCTAGGGAAGGACAATCTAGAAATGTGTGTGTGGGGGGGGAAGCCACGAGGCAGGCTGGGAACGATGGGCTAAAGCAGAGCCACGCCCAGCCCTGTGCTGTCACTCTGTCCTCTCACAGCTCCTGGTGTTACAGCTGGGCTTCCACAGCCGGGCCTTCCAGAAAGACCCACAAAACAGGCTGCAGGGCCCAGCACCAAGAACATTATGCGGTGAATGAATTAAAGAAGGGAACTAGCAGCCAGGAGCTCCGAGCAGGGGATGGGGAAACGCTCTTTCAAAATACCTTCTCCTTTGTCCGGCTCAAAGAGGATTCTATCTCCTCTGAGCCTTCCTCTGAGCCTTAGAGGAGGGTACATGTAGAGGATAAATGCTTCTCTCAGGAAGATAAGAGGAGACTGTTTCCCTTACTCTCCTGCCTAGTGATTGATGTTCGGTGCCTGTGAGGGAGAGGCCAGGGAGGCCTCTTTGCCGCAGCATTTTTGGGGAAGGCTAGTGACACAGCCATTTCTAGTTTTTAGAACCTGTTTTTGTTTTTGTTTTTTTTTGCTAGAATGGCCCTCAACTCTCTATATGGTAACCGTGTCTGGTGGGTTTCAGTGGTTTTTACACTTGCTCCAGGGTACATTGCTAGCTGTCCCAAATCCCCTAGAAAACAATGCTCTCTCTTTTGTCCAGTGGAGCTCTGAGCTGTGTCATCTCTGTGGGCTTGGACTGCTGCAGGAAACTGGCTGCTGTGCAAAGATGTGGGTGCTGAACATTTGTGCAGTCATTGTTCCCAAGATCAGCTCTGGGAAAGGTGGGTGGCAAGAGCCAGCTGGGAACTGCAAATTTTTAGAGTCTGTAGAAAACAAGAAAGTTGTTTTTTGGGGGAGACTTCCCTTGCCTTTTGTTGGAGACCTGCATTTCCAGAAGTCTCTGATAATGCAGGTTTAGATAAAAATGAAGGATTAGATGAAAATTAAATAAGAGGCCTGGAGGGAATCCAGGAGTAGCTGAAGCCTCACCCAGACTGGCCTCTGGCCCCCAGATCCAGATACAAAGAGCCTTAAACGCTTCTCTCTTAAGGAAGCTTGACTGGCCTTGCTACAAAGGGAAGGAAGTGGAATGGATTCCAACATTCTCCAGAGGTTTCTGACCTGATCTGGGTCTGGAGGAGTAGGTAGGACCTTGCTAACAGAAGGGCTGGAGGCCTGATTCTAAATTTTTGCTACTTTGGTCCTTTTCAGCACCCCATCTCCTTGAAGCCACAGCCAGGAGACCTAAAATCTTCCATGTTCTCCTCCCATCTCGTTTACTACATTGTATAGAGTTGGCATCATCACTTCTTTCATCTAATATCCTCGTTCTACACATAAGGCAATTGCCACTGAGAAGTTATTTAGGATTGTGTCCAAGGTCACGCGGGTGTTTGTCAGTGGGGTGATTACCAGAAACCAGAACCAAGGGCCTCCTATTTTTAGCCTGGGCTTTTTTGAGGGTGAGGGTTGGGAAGCATGAGACAGTCGGCTAAAATGGATCTGCCCTCTTATGTTTGCATCCTTAGGCCCAAATGAAGACTAGCTTTCAGACTGAGGTGGATGCGGAAGTACCAGTGGAGAGAGGAGTGGCGATCAATGGGACATTCTGAGGTTTAAAAAGGAACACGAATGCAAGCCAGAGAAAAAGTGCCTTGAAAAAGAATGTAGTTTTATGTTAAAGGGATCCTTAACTCAAGGAGTTGAGAGAAGGGCGCATAATCAAATGTATTTTTAATCTCCTTACTAAAGAACATGATGACTTTAGGCCGCTTTGTTTAAATAACTCTTCTAGAAAAGAGGAGGAGGGAGGAATCTGAATATTTTGGAGACAGCCACTTGTTTTGTGAAGCAAAAGCTAGGAGAGATGCAGGCAGTCAATGTTTGGGCCTAAACAGTAAAAAGAGGAGTTAGTATCTATAATCTTCTCTAAAATATTTTTCATTTTTCAACTGGGGAAAAAATTAGAATTTTCTCGCTGATCTTGGCAAGAGATTCCTGAGTGCTGAGCTGCATTCAAATCCTCTATTTCTCTCTCCAAACCCAGAGAGAATTAGCAAGACAACATACAGCCATTTTCTGAGTTTAAGAAAAATGCCATGATCCCTAAGGGAATGGAAATGACTAGTTTTGGGACACTGACAGTTATCTGAAGCACTTCAGGGCTCTTAACATTCATTTTGTGGGCTCCAGAGTGGGAGAAAGGTCAGACAGCAGAGGGGGTCCTAGGTCCTCCTCCCGCCCTGGAGAAGTACTGGGAGAGGGTGACTGAAGGAAGTCCTGGGGGAGGAAGGGAGGCACCAAGAGGTGGAAATTCTGGGATTCAAGAATAGGTTCTGGTACTAATTAGCTGTGTCTGATTTTAGGCAAATCACAAACTCCCCAGGCTGCAAAATCCCCACTTGTAAAATGAGGTGACCCAACTCAGTTTTCTTCCTTCTAGCACTAAAATCTTACTAAAAATTTTCCAGTCCCAGAGCAAACATCAAGACTGTCTGAAGGGAACCATCGGCATCTCTGGAATATTCCACTCTTGAAGAGAAAGGGGGAGGGAGAAGAGAGAAGGGAAGAAGAAAGGGGAAGAAAGATTGACTTAAACAAGAACAGCTTTGTCAGAGTCGGTTTAGAATAGCTGCTTAAACTGGCCCTGCTTTATTGGGGGAAATGGTGGGGGAGGAGAGGGAGGTTAGCATGAGACAGCACCCTCATTTGCTAGAGCCCCCCAGGCCAGGTCCCCCACCGTTTCACAAGCACCGTCATTTACAGGCGTCAAAGGGGTTTTTAAAATAGAGTACTGACTTTATATAATTCCTGTAATTTAGTTGCCATCATAAACTGTATCATGTCACTAAACTCCAACTTCCCCCACCTTGGAATTTACTGGCTAAAGACATGCCATTTTATAGGTTCTAGAATAAAGACCCCGGAAGTCAGAAAGGGCGAGAGGGTCGGTGTCATCACCCCGTCCTGGGCTCCACGCTTTAAACCACTGTGTGCCTACCGAGCTCCCCACTTTCTCTCACCACGATTCTTGTCCCCAAAAACGAGGCTACTGCTAGATCAACTCTAAGACCCCCCTCCGCCCCGAGCATTCTAAGCTAATAAGACCTGGCGACAGTACAAACACTCGAGGGATGTCACAATAAAGAAATAGAATTTGATAATTACATTGGGGATCATGTGGGAATTTAAAATTAATGGATGACTTTGACACAATGAGGAGGGAATGACAAAGGACAGGAGAGGGAGAGAAAGCAGACCTGGTCTGAAAAAGGAAGGGGAGAGAGCAGCCACAAAAAAACGTATGGCCGGCTTAAGCGTGGGAAAAGGGCAAAGGGGCGGCCAAGAAGCCCCAGGCGTAAAGCCCCAGCCCCAGGCGTAAAGCCCCAGCCCCACTCCCCTGACGCCGGGCCCTCGGACGTGCACTGCCGCTGGGGGCGGGGCGCGCGTGCGCAGTGGCGCGCTGCGCCAACCGCCGC